CTGATCTCGGGGCTGCTGGACGATCTGCTGGCCCAAGGGGTGCTGAGCCTCGACGAGGTGGACGAGGTGCAGGATCGATACACGGTGCGCACCGACAAGGCGCGCTGCCTCATCGACGGTGTGCGCCTGAAGGGCCCCAAGGCCAGCCAGATCTTCATCGACAGCCTCAGGAAGCGGGATGGCACCTTGGCAGAGCAGCTGGATCTGGCGGCTCGCTCGGGTGAGAGATGCGGGGCTGTGGTCTGCCCCCAGCCATGCTGGGGCTCCTGGTGCCTCCGGTGGGGTTCTGGAAGGGGGGCCTGGCCCTGGCGGGTGTCCAAGGCTTGAAGGGGCAGTTGGGCATCTCCAGCGTCACAGCTCTGTGGCGCCGAGTCCCCCTCACCATGCAGCAACGACAGGGCTCTCAGGGCTCGCTGTCCCCCGTGGGGCTAAACAGGGACCCCCAAAGGGCAGAGCCCAACTCCACTCACCCATCCGTGCCCTGTGATGGTCCCCTCTTGCTGCAGGTGCTTCCCAGTGTAACTGTGGGCCTTTCTGCTTGCAGGGCCCCCCAGTATGCAGCTGGCCTCCCCCAACACTGCGGGCTCCCCTGAGCTCCCCGTCAGCATCCAGAGCCAGCAGTGGATCCGGCAGTGCTCCCTGAGCGAGTACCAGCGCATCAGGGACACAGAGGGAGACCAGGTGCTGCGGGCAGAGGAGATGAGAGGAGGGCTGGATCATGGCTTGGCTGCCCTGCCGGAGCGGGCAGGGGCTTGCCAAGGGGAGTCAGGGTCCTCACTGACCTGGGAGCAGGGCAGGAGATCGGGGGGAGATGCCCCAGAGACAGGGAGATATAGTTGCTGCACCCGTGGGCCTTCTCTGCTATTAGCTGCCTCCCAAGAAAAGCCCCCTGCACCCACCCACCACTGAGCGCTGCCTCCCTTTGTCCTCACAGATCTATCCCATCCATCTACCGCGGGAGACACGAACCCGTAGGGCCCTGCTCATCTGCAACATTGAGTTTGAGCACCTGAGACGGCGGAACGGGGCTGAAGTGGACGTGGAGGGGATGACGAAGCTGCTGGAAGAGCTGGGCTACGTGGTGGACGTCCATTGCAACTTAACTTCCCAGGTAAAGGACTGCACAAAGCAGCTGCCACCAGCCCCAGGAGTGGTGCAGAGACACTCATTGCATGCGTTGGTGATGGGGGGGAGGGGGGGCTGAGGCACCACAGGGACACCTGTCCCCAATGGCAGTGCCTGGGTTTCCATACAGCTGGTCACAGGTGGCAAATGTTCCGTCCTTGTGCTGGTTTGTAGGGGATGGCTACGGTCATGAAGGATTTTGCGGATCACAAAGACCACTGGACCTCCGACAGCACTTTCCTGGTCTTCATGTCCCACGGGGTCAGGGCTGGGATCTGCGGGACCAAGAGCAGAGACGAGACCACAGACGTCCTTTGCCTTGACACCATCTACGAGAAATTCAACAACAAGCGCTGCCGGGCACTGCTGGGCAAACCTAAGGTGGTCATTTTCCAGTCCTGCCGCGGAGGTGAGTCCTCGCTACAAGGTGCCTGCGTGGCGAGCGAGCCGGCCAGGCTCTCCCAGGGTACGTGAGCCCCAAGCACAGGGTGGGGAGGGGACACCCCATCATCGCTGACGGCTGGCCCTGCCTTCCTAGGCAACGTAGGGTCCGTGATGGTGAGCGACTCTGCAGACCCTGCTGTGCCCGCTCCCAGCTCGGCTCACACGATCCCTGCAGGGCTGGAAGATGATGCCATCTGTGAAGTCCACATGGAGAGTGATTTTGCCACTTTACATTCCTGCACGCCTGGTAAGCAGTTCCTGGAAATGGTTGCCCTTCCTGACGGTAGGTGAGGGCAACAGGACTCCCATTCCTGATGTCGTGAGGCGTCTCCACACCTCCTCCTTGGGGCAGGTTACCGGGGATCCCCTCTATCCAGTGACTGTTTGGGTCACAACAGCCTCTGGAGAAGGCTGTGTCCTCTGATGCCAGGGTACAAGGCTGCTCCAGGACACCCACAGATCCCTCTTAGAGGCATCAGGGCCAGAGCTTTGTACCCCTGCCTGGCTGCTTTCCCTTGCCCCTGCTCCAGCCCTCCCCACCGGCTCTGCCTGCACTCCTTCCCCAGCTGATTTATCTCACCGCAGTGGCTGGACATTGTCTCCTGCTGCTGGGTTGCAGATGGCTCCAGGCTGTGCCAGCCTGGCAGCTGGCGTGGCTGGGAGCAGGGGAGAACAGAGGGGCTTGAAGAAAATATTCACGTCACATCTGTCTTCCCTGGGATGCCCTGTCCTCTTCCCATCCTGTGGGTTGGATGGGCCCAATATAATGATCTTGGAGAAGGTGCCCCAGTCTCCTGCTCTGGCACCCAGCATTAATCACTGTTGTAGTGAGGGATATAAGTGAAATCACACTTGGCATCTTGTCTCTCCAGATACTATGTCCTGGAGAAGCCCAGCAACAGGTTCGGTTTTCATCCAGCACCTGATAGAGCAATTTCAAAACCACGCCTGCCACAGCGACTTACAGGAGATCTTCCGAAAGGTGAGGCTTCGTAGTGAACTGCAGGCGTGCTGGCAGATGCAGCCATGCCAATGGTCAGAAATACTGCTCAGAGCAGAGCTCGGGCCAGGGCAGGCCATTTTTGGCAGGCCCCTCGGGAGCAGGCTCTGTCAAAAAGGGTCTGGTTTGGCCTGGAAACTCAGCTGGATCTCTGGAGGCATCAGCACCCTGCCACGTGGTGGGCATGCATGAGCCTGGTGTGTTGGTGCAGCCCGTGGCCTCCTTTGTTCCACCAGACACGTGCCTGGGGATGTCCCTGGGGATGCCTCCTGACTCCCTCACCCTTCCCACGCTGGGAACGGAGCTGCTCCCATTTCTCCCTGCTGTCTCTCTCACCCCAGGTCCAATATTCCTTTGGAAAATTCCCTCAGCAGCTGCCATCGCAAGAACGGACTACGATGCTCAGGAAGTTCTACCTCTTCCCAGGCCACTGATCTCCTGCCCATGGTGAGTCTCTTCCCCTCACACCTCTGCGGCAGCCTTTTGTCTGTGCCCCAAACCCAGTACCTGGCCAGCGGGGAGGAGTGGGGAGAAATTCCCCATTGGTCCTGGGCTCCAGACCTCGCAGCTTGGACAGGATATCCAAAGAACTTATGTGCTAGTAGCCAGGGCTGGGCATTGGCCTGACTCCATCGCCATCTCCCAGCTGGCCGTAGGAGAGACAGGCGTTCCCAGAACTTGTCTCATTTGCTTCTGTCTTAGGAGTTTCTCAGTCTAACATTCTTCTTGTGAAAAATACACAGGAAAAGTGTTAGTACTTGGGGATAAGACAGCAGAAAGCTCAAGGCAAATGCAGCCCTGCTCCAGAGAGATGCGCTTCGGAAAAGAAAAGGACAAGAGGAAAAGCCATGAACAGCTCTGCAGAAACACGGTGAATCTCCAAACCACCTATTGGTGCCCCCTCTGCTAAGCAACTGCAAACAGACCTGGAATAAAATAGTCCTCGGTCTCCTGTCCTCCCTTCCTTTTGTGGCCTCTGAACAACCCCAAACTGAGCAAACTCTTCCCCGGGAGCAGCAGAGACACCTGGCTCTGGAGCACCAACTGCAAAGCTGGTTAGTGCCTCCCAACTGTCCCCAGACACGGCCTGTCCCCAGTTGCGACAGAGACGATCTGTCACCCCCAGAGCTGCTCCCGCCCCGTCTCTGGCTTTACCCATCATCTAATAAAGGGATTTTCAGAGCAGACGGCACCACTCCTCTGCCTTTAGCCCGTGGTGGGTGGATGGTTGCCACAGCTGGCAGTAGCGGCTGTTACGTTGCCTTCTCGGGACGCTGGGTAGGTGGGAGGTGAGAAATCAGAGGGAGCTCGGGGAGGGGATGCCTGCCTTTGGGGCAGGCTGGGCAGCCTGCGTCTGCGCTCCAGGGGGATTTCCATATGCCTCCCCCTTGCTTGCAGCGTCTCCTTGCTCAGGAGGCAGCTTCGCCTCCTCCCCAATCCTCCTGCTGCCCCTGAGGTGGAGGAAGGAAGCGATTTCCCCTGGAAGCCACGGAAGATTGCCAAACCTGTACCTTACACACACTGCTCCCACAACCTGGCACGTTACAGGCCCAGCCCAGTTACCACCTCCCATCAGCATCCCCTCTGGTAAGCGAGAGCCCCTTCCTGTGCCAAACGCCACCCTCCCTGTCCTTCACGGCCACATCCAAACCATTTTCTCCCTTGAGATGGATTCAGCTTTACTGCATGTTCTGCAAAGTCACGGCCAGATCCACAACCAGGTGGTCTGGCAGCAGGAAAACGAGAGGGTTCTCCTGCCCCCTCCTAGTGTCCGAGCCACTCCAGCGCAGGCAGGGCAGTGTCCTGGGCCGGTGCCACCCCGTGTCCCTGCGAGGTGGCAGGAGAGCTCAGCGGGATGGAGATGCCTCTCTGCCCCAGTTCTAGGTGACCTGGGGTGGGAGAAGGCCTTGCAGGCAGGATTGGACCGCAAAACAGGCAGCCGGTCCATGCTGAGCCCCTTCTCACAGAGCCCCACCTCACTGCCCGGAGCTCCTCAGGTCCCACATGATGCTTGCAGAAACCCTGGTCCTCAGCGCTATGGTGGTGGCAGGAAATTGAGGACAGCAGTGACGAATTCTTCAAATTTATCCTGATGGACTATGTGGCCTGCACCTTCGATGAACTGGACATCCGCCTTGGGGAAGAGGCGTTGGATCTCCGGGTAGTCTTTGGGGCTGCAGGACAAGGGAAGAGGCCATGGGAAGCGTGGTCAGAGGTCCATCAAGGTGCCTTCCCTCACCCTCCCCAGGCAGAGGGCGATCCCAGGTCTGACCATGTCCTCTTCCCTGCTGGGAAAGCCTGGGGCTGCCCCCAGGTTCCCCCTCACTCTCCAGCACGTTTGTGTCAGTGGCCGGTGGAGGCAGAGAGCTCGCTCCAGACCTTCCCCCACCTCAGGGTGCTTCCTCTCACCCTTGCAGAAGAGCACAAGGAAGGGGGTCAAACCACAGACTTTGAACTGCTTCTCTCCAGTCCCACCTGATATAAGGTGACTTGGATCCTCCCAAGAAGAGTGCAGGGCCAGGATATGGCTTGTGGAAGACGGGGAAGTTCATGATATCTGCCAAGTGGTGGGAAATAGCCTCCAGGTTCACCCGCCAGGTGTAGCGGCCCTCCACCTCCACCAGGTTGGTGAGGAGGAACTGTCTCAGCTGCGGGAGCTGCCAAAAAAAGGCGATTGTACGACTCTTCAGTAACAGCAGCAAGCCCTCAAGATGTCCTGGCACCCTCCATCCTCCCTTCCACCCCCTTCTGCCTGTCTCCCACGCCGTCACGCTCCCCATCACCCCTGCAGCCCTGCTGAGATGTCCTCCAGCTGCCCGCAACAGCAGCGAGCGAGCAGAGGTGGAAAAGAGTCTTGTGGCCCTAAAGCCCCGTGCTCCAGTCCCAGGGTCAGGCTGGGAGTGGAAACCCCATCCAAGGAGCGGGATTTCCTACCTGGACCACCGGGCGCAGCTGATCGTCTGCCAGCTGGCGGGCCGCAGAGCGCGACAGCCCGTCCGGGATCTTCACCGACTTCATGGCAGCGATGTAGGCAGAGAATTCAGAGACAGGCGCAGTGGAGACGGGACTAATGTCTACGGAGATAAGGCGCTCCACCAGGTCTGGCTGGAGACACAAGCAGGGCAGATGGATGCCAGCCGAGACCTCCCCAGTGCGACTGGGCGGAGGGCTCCGCACCCACCCAGACCCCCTGGAGGCTTTTATCTCCCTCCTGCCTCCCACGTGCCCTTCCCCAAGCCCCTGTGCCTTGGCACAGAAGCTCTCCGAGCTCCCCTGCAATCACTGCCACCCCCCTTTCCTACACCCTCCCGCTCCAGGAGCTCCCCCCGCCCCGAGCCCGTTCCCTCCGGGACCCCTGCGCCTGCCGCGCAAGGCCAGCGTCATGGCCGTCTTGCCCCCCATGCTGTGTCCCACGAGGATGCACTTGGGAATGCCCAGGCGGGTCAGGAGGTGCTGCACATCCAGGCTCATCGCTTCGTAGGTCATCAGCGGGCTGTGGGGGCTGCCGCCGTGGTTCCGGGCGTCC